GTTAAAGCTTGATATGTGACTTTGGGGAGACGGTAGCCGTTTAAATGATGATATGTAGATGAACTAGGTCCTATGGAATTGCTTTTCCTGTGTAGAACTTCTGCATTATGCCTATGGCTCATACCAAGAAGGACTAGAAAGGTCAGATACACAACTGTATTGGTAAGGATGTTGCTCAAGGTATTGGTTATATATCACACATCATGGTCCCTTTTATGAAAATCCATCAGAACCTTTTTTCTTATCCTTTGGTGCTAGAGAGACTTATACAGTTATCCCAGAAATGATCCTGTTTCCTCTTCGCTTTGGTTGCAAGGAAGTTAAGCACAAAATCTGTAATGATGTTTAATAGTTAATCAATTATATCTTGGGATATAATTGTGTGTGTTAGTCTGGGACTAAGAAATTGTTTTAAATTTTAACTGGAGAAGAGATAGTGTATTTATAATAATATACGCAAGCATCTTATTCAAGAATTTGGCTATATAGCTTGTTTCTAGTTGGTTCAATACTTTTTATTTTCTAAGTTTCATTCATACAGAACCTGAATATTTCATGCTAGGATTTTTCTTAGACATTTTTGTGCAGACAAGAGTGAACTTGGAAGGCTTGCGTTCGCTGTCTTTTTAAGAGTTACTTGCTAGTTGGCCCTGGCTGGCTCCTGGGAACCTGGGTTTGGGAATGACCCTTGGGAGGCTAATGACAAGGTCATTTGTTGTGCCAAGGACGCAGCACTTCCTCATGCCAGCCTGCCTAGACTTCTTTTTTCTAAACGATGTGATGTACAGTGAGCATCCACTTCCCTTCTGGGAGTTTTAATAATGGCGACCTATGGCGATGGCAGAGAACGTTCATGTGACCAGCCTTGTTTTATCTGGTCCTCGGTGAGGAACCAGGCAAACGAGCAGTTGCAGGTTAGGGGAAGCATGTTAGGCAGAGTGGATGCACTATAGAAACACAGGATTGTGGGAGAGAAGAACGTGTTTGGGAATTGGGGGAAGGTCTTTGTATCTATCGTGTGTGTCTTGTGAGCCCTTGGGAAAGAAGAGGCACGTGAGAGGCGGCCAGAGGTACAGTTTATGACCCCTTGTGGCCATTGCAGGAAGTTTTCACTTTATCCCTTAGCCAGTAGGAACCAGCAAAAGTCTGCAAGGGGAGGGGAGTGAGATCACCACTTGTTTATTTTTTGAAGGTAATTCTGGGAATGGTATAGAAGGTGGATATAATTAGGGCGCGAAAGTAGCAGGTGGAATGATAGGGTCATCATCACAACTTAGCTGAGAGAGATTGAGGGCTTGGATTAGGTAGTGAGAAGAGAGCAGGGACCGGAACTTTTGAGGAGGTGTTATGCAGAGGGCTTGGGGGCGAGGGAAAAATTCATTGCAATTCTCTTCAGTTTCTAGGTTCGAAGATAGAGTGGGCGGTGGTGGATCGGAATCACGATTTGGTTGGGACAGGTGTGCAGTTGAGATTTGTGTGCCTGAGGAGCCATGGGGGACACAGAGAAGGGAGACAGATGTCCAGGCCAGGAGGAGGGGTGGGGTCCTTGGCTTCAGGCCAGCCATGGAGCAGGTGAGAAGGGCTCGCCTGAGCAGACAGGTGAAGCTACCAGGAGCCCTCGAGCGTGAGCGGACCTTGCCTTGTAAATATGTGATGGGCCCATTAATTGTATTAATAATGGGCCCTAAATGAAGCAAAAGAAGTGGGAACATTTTATTGAGAAATCTACAGGATTCCTTCCAAGTTCTCCTAAGTACACTGTCATACATCAAAGCAGGTCATTAAAATGAAATTCTTTCTGTGTGGCCACCTGACCCGGCAAGCGAGTTACCAATGTGTGACCCTCAGTTCAAACCGATAGAAAACCCCACCCCATAATCAGTCTCGCTCTATCTACTCTTGCCTCACTACGAAGAATTCTCTCCATAGTAGCCACAAAGGTTTTCTGTTTTTTCTTTTTGAAGGGAGTCAACTAAATGTGACATCAGCGACGTCAGTCCCGTCTAAGACCTCACCTCTTCCCCTGGCCTCAGCCTCTCTTTCCTCATCTCTTACATCCCCTCTCTGTTATTGGGCTCCAGCCAAAGGATCCTTTGCGTTCCTGTCTCTTACGTCCTGCGCACATGGTGGGCATTTAATAAGCATGGAATGAAGGAATGACCTCATGAGGGTTGTGAGTAGGTGTGAAAAAGCTCATCTAGAGCCTGTTGATGTGCCTGGCGCATTCCCGGAGGACAAAAGATGCCACTTGTGATCATTTTTGTCTTCGTGTTGGCCTGTCTATAATTCTCATGTTTCTCTGTCCTCTTCTGTTCCAAGCTACCTGTCCGAGTCTTCCCACCCAGCCACCTCACTGTCTTTGGTTTTTCTGTCCCCACAGGCAATAGACATGTGTGTTGACATCTCTCTTTCGTTGGCACTTGATATGACTTCATGTAATTCCCCAGACTTTTTCATCCTTGTCCTCTCCAGGGTAACCCCATTTCTGATTGTGCTTTAATAATTATATATGGCTTTGGTCCCAAGGACACTGAGTGTATAACAACCTTCCTGATGGCAAGCCTCCGGGGACTCGGTCCCAAGGCTCCTAAGGCCCTCTTACCACTCAGAAAGCACCAGCTTGATAACATCATTAATATGTGGTTTGGAATCAGCAATTCAGGAACGATAGCCGGTACTTATCCAACACCAGCCCCGGGGCCGGCAGCATCCTCAGCACTTTACATGCATGACCTCACTTTATGAGTCTGATTTGATTAGTATTCCTGGTTTCCACTTACTGACTTGCCCGAGGTCACACTGCTAGTGGTTTGGAAGTTCGGACCGAAGCCCAGGTGGAATTTCAGACCCCTGCCCTCGGCCCTGCCTTTATATTCCACGGCGCCCCAGCAGCAGCTCAGGGTCAGAGAGTTAACTTTCATTCTCTAGTGTTTGATTTTAAATTTTAAAAATGATAGGCAGTTCTGGTTTCAAAGCCCTTCACTAGTTCCTCCCTACTGTTCTACTCAGGTCGCATTTCCCTGATGGCAGCTGCTGTTAGCACTGTGTTCAGAATTACTGTCTTTATTAGAAGACTTTCCTTTTTGACCTCTCAGTATGCTTCTCCTCTCAGCTTTTTGTCTTCTGGAAAGTCAGCTTCTTCCTAGTTAGTCGGTGAAAGTGTAAAATACAAATGGTCCAAGGTCACCTTGAGTTGACCCTAAGAGAAAGTTGTCCCAGCTCTGTCCCAGGCATGTTTCGAAAGTTAACGAAATTCTTACCTGTTTGGGACCCATCAACATGAACACCTGCCTGGAGAAGACCTACCCTCGTCTGAAACTCCAGGCTGGTGACTTCTGCAAGTCCCCAGGACCGAAGCTGTTACTTGGCAATTCATCTATGACTATCAGCTTGATGCATGGAGGGAAACGAGCAGCCCTTCCTGCCTAAGGAAAGAGGGTTGGATGTTCTTTCCAATGCCCAGCTTTATGGACTTGAGTGAGCACCCAGTGTTTTCTGCACAATGTGAAGACAGTGCTGTTCCAGATTCCTCTCTTTCCTTTACTCCTCCGTTCTGAAGGAGAACGCTCTAATTTTCAATCAGCAACCCAGCAGCGCCCTGCGGAAATGGCGGGCCTTTTCTGCTTGCGTGGGGATATTTTCCTAAAGGGCGAGGCGGCCAGTAGCGCGGGGTACAGATCCCAGGCGGCCCCTTGGGGCTCAATCTCATTTTGAGCACGTGCACACTCAGCCGGGGGGTTGGCCAGGGGCCTCTCCAACCGGCCGCCTCCCTGCCTGCCGCTCCCTGTTGCCTTGAAGAATGTGTTCCCATAAGGCTCTCCTCGTCCCATGGAGACCGATGCCTGGTCGCCCGCCTGCGCTCTGTGCGTGTTCTGCAAGAGGGGACATACGCGCCCATCATCCGTCTCAGACTTTTCCTGCAATCCCTCAAATTGCTTGTAACGTCTCAGGGAGCATCATCATAGCTTTCTGAGTGCATCTCTGATTCGTATCCATTTCTAACTGATCATTTTCTCGCTTTTCTGCTTTCTTCTGTGGCAGGGGAGAATTACGAGTATATAAAAAATCCTCTAGACATGGCTGACCTTAGCTGTTTCAATGTACCTACTAGTCACCAAAATCTAGTGATATTACGGTGACTAATGCGTAGCTTCGGTGGCGAAAAGCACACGCCTGGGTGGGAGTCCTTGACTCTGTCATCTTCGACACATTGGCGTGAGCCTGTATGTCCTAGCTCGTCAACTAGTGGCCTTACGAGTGCGGCACAGCCAGGACTGGTGTGAAGGAAGGTTCAACACAACAATGAACGGCGTGTGGTTGTCACAGTCTTGGCACAGAGGAAATGGGCCGCGAATGTCAGTTGGCAGCATGCCTAATGTGTTCTTGAACACATTACAATATTGTATAATGTAAATACAATATAAAACATAAGCGACAGAATAATTTAGTTTTTATTCCCCTGGCAAGGAAAGTGAGCGGTTTGTGAAGGAGGACGTTTTTAATGAGCAGACTGGCGCTTTGTTTCTGACCTTTTCCCCAAGCAGTTTCGTTCACGTCCATAGATCACTGCAACACGCACATTGGAGGTGGGCTCTGGGGAGGCAGCCCCCTCCCCGCCCTGCCCCCTGCAGCCCGTCCGCATTTCGGTGATGCGGCCAGGGCAGAGAGAGACCCCGCAGCGTGCCACTTCCGCAGGTGCCGTGTTCTCCCTGGCAGGTTGACTTAGGGGGCTCTTCTGTGATGTTCTCGGGGAACACTCGCTCTGACCAGGACCAGGGGGCTTATGTCCTTGCGGGCGGCTGGCCCTGACGCCATGAGGGTCCGGTGCATGTTTCCAGGCCTCCCCCGCCGCTGGCTCTGAGGAGGCGTTGCTACTTCGTAGCCTTTGTGCTTCATCCGATCTCCCCCGGCTGGGATGTCGGTGCATTTGGGCTTCGGATGACGGGCCGCTGCTGCTCTGTGACGCTGGCTTCAGAGTTCCTTCTTTCTCCTTGGTGTAGATCTAACATAAGGCCAGACCACGCCGACTCCAACTGCCACGAGTTTAAGATGCACACCTTCGCCCGGGTGACCTCCTGCAGGGCCTGCCGCATGCTGCTCAGGTGAGTGCGGGGGCCTGGTGCCCCGTGTCCGGAGTGGCGGTGAGTGCCGACGTCCCAGCCAAGCATTCCCAACCGCCGGGGGTGGGGCGGGGGGAGCCAGCGGGGGGCAACTTCATTGCTTGGGCCCCCCAGAGCTTCCCTTGGCCTTGAACCTGGACAGGCCCTCCAGACCCTGGGGAGGTCCCCTTCCAACGCCGGGAGGACTTCGCGTACAGCGCTGTGCTCCCTTGTCTCCCCATCTTGCGCTGATGATTTCATCGAGGCGGCGCCAAGCACCCTTTAACCTCTCTCTCTCTGTCTCTCTCATTCGACCTTGCAGAGGCACGTTTTTCCAAGGCTACCTGTGTGTTAAGTGTGGCGTGAGGGCCCACAAAGAATGCTTGGGAAGAGTAGACAACTGTAGCAGAGTGAATTCTGCTGGTAAGTTATGTTTATCGTTGTGATTCTGCTTTTGATTAGGATGTAAATCTTGCTAAACACCACTGAGGCCTAGTTTACTCTTCATATGCGTTTACTGGTATGTACTGCTTTGCACCAGCCATTCCTGAGCACGGGTAGAAAATTGTTGAGGGTCATGTGACTTTTCTACCTGCCTGGCTGGTAGAGGCTACAAGGGGAGCCCAGGAGGTTTCATGTTCCCCACTTCCCCTGCCCCGGCCCCCCGATCTCACAGACACTGTACAGGTACTGCCGAAACAGACAAATGGAGGATCAAAACCCAAACACAAAAAAAGTCTCATCATTTCTGTCTTCAGCTCCTGAATTTCTCCCTTATTCTCTTAAATATCCAGCTCAGAAATGCTAATGACGCTAGAAGCAAACACCACGCAGACTAATTCATGAATTAACGAACTGAATACATTGCCATTTTCCGGCATTTAACAAAGAGCACATAGTCTTTGGATTTTGTGTCAATATTTTCCCCTTGGTTTTTAAAAATAATGCCCCATGATTGTTGCATGAGCCGGTTTCTGAGCTGTTGGCGATCACGCATTCAGGAGCCTTCTGGCCCTCTCTCTCCTCTTGGGCTCTTTTCCTTCTCTTTCTTTTCTGGCCTCTTTATTCTTTCTCTTTCTTCTTCTTTCTCTTTGTCCTTTTTCCCCTGAGTTTCTCTGTGTTTTATCAATCAGACCTTTCAAAATCAGTACAAACTTTTTGAAGAGAAGAAAGGGGCCTTTAGCAGCTTGAGTTCAAAAGGGAGCCATATCCACCTTTGATTTTCCCAAAGGAAAAGGTGGACATTGAATTATTTTGGATAATCTGAAGAAAAGTGAGCCAGAGAATAAAAGCTCGTTTCAGGGCCGACTTCAGAAAAGGTGTGAATCCTATTAGAGGTCCGAGGTCACAGCAGGCCCCTCTTGCTTCACCCCCATGGAGGACGTTTCTCGGGGCCCCAGGAGCCGTGCTGTGTGCCAGAGCCGGGCCGCAGCTCCGAGAAAGGCCCGAGCCTCGTGCCGGGCCTGCCCCCGCGGCCTCTGAGGGCCCGGGGTGCTTCTGCAACTTTTCTCAAGGCCTGGCAAGTACAGGAGACAAGGTTAGCACCCGCTCCTGCTTCTGAAGGTCAGAAACAGTCGGCAACGTTGTAAAATATGGAAGAAATAGCCTATACTATTATTGTGACTCTTTGTGTACCCAACACCACGGATCCCTTAAATTTCATTGTTCTTTGCGTGGGCCCCCCCCCTTTCATGTCTTTGAGGGCAATTCGCATTATTTGCCCACTGAGACGAATTACGTGGGCCTGTAAACACCGTAGCCCCGCTTTATGAGGTTCGATCTAGAGGGGCCGTCGAGAGGCTGGGCCGTTGAATCGGCCCGCGTGGTCCTTCCCTTTCGGCAGGGACTCGTGTCGGGGAGTCGTTGAGAGCCCAGCAGAGGCGCTCGGTGCTTGCGCTGTGCCATCCACTAGGGACGCGAGTGTGCGGAAGCTACTTCGTTCAACGTTCTGAGCTTCCACGTATTCATCGGTAGAATGTGGGGGCTCTTGCGGGGAGCCAGATGAGGGAGCGCTGACGCTCATCCCTGGGCGCAGTCGGGACTCAGTATGTAGATCCAAGGGGTTGTGTTGAGATGTCTTTTATTTCCCCCACTGTAATTTTCTTGCTGTTTTGGGGATATACAGCAAATGTGGATAAAAAAATGAGCGCCAAATGTTGCACTGACACACAAGAGTGACATTTAAAGGACTTTAAAATTTTAACTTTTATGTTAAAAAACCAGTCAGTAGGAAGCAGCCGGGATTTCTGGTCTCGTGAGGCACAAGAGCGGTGCGTCTGCTGCGTCAGTTCCCCGTCCTTTGCTGAGCGGCCCAGGCAGGGGGGTTGGGGGGGGAGCCGGCAGGTGGCCGTCGGGGTGGGGGGCCCAGCCTCGCGGGAGGCTCGTCGGTGTCAGTCTGGCTGCATAGCTCACTCGCAGGGTGACTTTGGACCCAGTACTTAATCTTTTTTCCCTCCTCAAATGGAGATAATAACAGCATCTAGCCTTTAAAGGTTTTTTTTTTTTTTTTTCAATAAATATACATGAAGTGTCAGGTACTAAGTACTTTACCACTGATCTCTCATTTAGTCCTAGAAAAGTACCATGAAGTTGGTTTTAGTGCTTTTCTCCTGTTGCAGATGAGAAACTGAGGAACAGAGAAATAAGTGACTTGTCTTAGTTGTTTCATTGTGAGAACCAAGATTCAGCGCCCGGAGGTCCAGGCCCTGAGTTGGCTCCTAAGCCCTGGGCTGCGCTGCTGGGCTGTGAATGAGCCGGGCCACGTGTGCCAGACGCACACAAGAACCGTGCTTGACTGATGTTCCGGGCGCACGGTGGGCGTGTGGGTGAGGGCGTGGATGGACCCGCAAACAGATGGGCAGACTCATGAGGAGGACGGCAGTGCACCTGGGCTCTGGGCCCTGAAGATCGTGCTGGTGTTAGGACCCGACGCAGAAGGCCTGCGGGAGGGGGTACGGATCGGGGTTCCGCCTTTCCAGGGGCTCGGGCTTGGCTGGGGGCAGGCTGAGCAGAATAGAAACGTACCCGCACCCCTGGCTGGCACCTTAAGAATGAATGATGGAAAGGTGAGAGCCTGTTCACAGGCCCTGCTGATGTTTATGCAAGCGAAGGCTTGTGTGGAGCACCTGCCATCAGGCCCTCCCCGCCCAGGTTAGGGCACCTGGGTCAGGTTACTAAGTAGCAGAAAGCGAACCCGCTGGCAGAACACCTGACAAAAATACCCTTATTTCTGGAGAGATCTATCCCCTGACCCAGTAAATCCATTTTTAGAATTCTTGCCTGGCTCTTCCTGTTACCTCCCCTTGAAATGCACTTTCTTTTCTCCCTACAGTTCCAAGAACTTACTCTTCCTTTCCTTCCTCTTCTCTCAGCTCTTGGCCAATCATCTAACCCCCTCCCGCCCTTGACCATCCAATGCCAGTCTGATTTACATTCTTCTCTAATTAGTTTTTGTGTAGGTTTTTATGTATTTGCCAAAGTTCGGCTGTGTTGGGGCGCCTAAGAAACCCCGCATTCCCGGTGGCTCTAACATGTAGTGGTTCATCTCTCATGTACACACAGTGCAGCGCTGTGGGTTCCTGGCCCTCTGGGATTACCCCCTGCTAATTAATGGCTCAGGGATCAGTCTGTGATGCTGCCGTTTAAACACGTGGCTCCAGGTGGCTGCTCTTAAGACCCGTGGACCGGAAGGGAGCAATGCCATTCTGTTTGCTCACAGCCCATTGGTTAAAACCCGTCCTATGATTGCAACGGAATGACAAGGGAAGCTGGCCGTTGGAGTAGGATGCGTGGACTGTACGCGGGAGCCCTGCTGTCTCTGACTGATGCTTCACATGTCCTCTAGGAGGTGATAGGCTCCTGCACGGTAGAGGTATCCAAAGTCGGGGAGCGTCATATCAAGTAGTTCATCCTTTCTGCCCCCGTGGAGTGTCTCGTCCTGATGCTGTCCTTGATAGTGCTGGACGTGGCTCAGTGCGAACCAGTGAGCACTTGGAAGAGCTCCGAGGCACTCCTTTCTGTGGAAATTAAGCCTTCTTTGGATGTTGTTTTCCCTGGGCGCAGAAACCTTTTATAGTTCATGCTCTATATCCCCTAAATTTATCTAGTCTTCATTCATGCTTGAAATAATAATTACTTGGCAAAAATGCCGTGCGTTTCTGAAGGAAGGAAGTAATTCATCCTCATTAATATCTGACTGTGACAGATTATGAACTCAAGTACATATGAAGTATGAGAAAAAGGTATTTTAATTATTTTTTAAAATATTTATAAGACAAACTGTGCAACTGGGAAACAAATTTGAAGGTTGGGTGATTAGCGTATGTCTTCATATTTGAAAATTTGCATGGCTACCAGGAGCAGGCGGTTCGACTCCCTTTTCCACTGAACTTGAGTTGACTCCTTCACGTTCACCATGGCAACCGCGTGATCAACATGCACGTGGACTTGGCAGTGCGCTGCCACAACTTCCCAGCCTAATAATGAATAGGTACGAGCTCCATTATATGAGACTCTCTGAACAAGTCCCTGCAAAGCGGATGTCATTTTGGTGTGGCCTTTCTTTCTCGCAGTAGTGCCCCCGTGAAGGTCTCATCCAAGGCCGCAGCCTCTGGGGATGTTTGTGTCTTTCCCCTCCTGTAACAGACGGCTAAACCCTTTGGTCCTCGTCTTGCCCTGCCATTGATCAGTATAACTTGCTCTGCACCCTCTCGGTTTAAACAGAGGAAGTAACACTGGAAGGCAAGAACTGCTGGAGCAGATGACTTTGGTTTAATGCGCCTTTCCCTTGTGTGCACCTGCAAGCCCCAGCTGGTCTAACATTTAACTGAGGCAGATCCCCACCTGCTTTCTGTGTAGTCGCTCTTTTATCTAGGCCAGCCGCTGCCCGACCGCTCCTGATTGGAGGGAAGCTGTCTGGGGATCCTAAAGGGTTAGCCCTGCAAGTTTGCTACCTAGAACCTCCCCCCGCCCCCAATTGGCATCTGAAACAGCTCTTTTATAAATAGTATTGCAGTATTTTAACATGAGCTAAGCAACCCGAATAGAATTTTATTTCAGCCTTCTACCACTGGGCATTTTATGACATTCTGTGAACCGAGGCTTGATCATCAGTTACATAATCAAAACCTGGCATTGGTTCTACTTCATATTACTTAAATCCTTTTACATAAGTCAGTCCTCTTTTTTAACTTAGCAAGACAATTTCACACTCAAGGATCATTATTATTTCTTCCATTTAACTGTTTGGGTCAGTTGAATGATACATTAGTGAATGTTTAAAGTGAACTGGAAGCTATTATATGGTTGGATTCCTGTTAGAGCTTCTGAAAAGACTTGAAATCAAAGCCTCTTTCCAAGTACTATGTATAGTTTTCTTTTATTCTCCCCCAAAATATGGCTGTAGGTCTGAGCGGTGAACGTAGTAGTCATCCAGTTCCCTCCCAAACTGGATCAGTCCCACTGCCTTTTAGTTTTAATGTTTCACAAAAATAGCATGTTTTTAACTATAAAGACAAAGGACCATCGAAAGCTCTGCGGGTCATGACTTTTCTGTGGTCCCTTTGGAGACACATGGTTTTGCTGGGGATAGATTTGTTCACTCTTAAGGAGTAGAACTTCGGGTAAGAGAAAAGCGAGTTGTGTAATAATGCAGGCACCGAGAGGCACTTGCATTGGGCAAACACAGGTGATGGGGCTGGATTTTTGTTTAAGCCCATGAAGGACATGGTGTGGGCCCCAAGCCCCGGCGAAGGCCGTTTCTGTCGCACAAACACGCTCCCTGAGCCCTGAGCCGGCACTCGAGATGGAGTTCTGCAAAGGCCCCGGAGCCTCTGTCACGCGCTTCTCTGAGTCCTGTTAAACCAGTCGGGGCAGGATGAAGGAACAAGAGGCAAAACCGCCTGCAGGGCCTGGGAGTCGCCATCTAGAAAGGGCTTTGAAAGGGGAAGAGCATGTTACAGTTTGATCAGCAGGAGCCTGAGAAATAGGCTGCAGGGTACAGACAAGTTGGGGATTAAAACTTTTGGAAAAGTTGAAGCATTGGCTTATTACCCTAAGGCCGTTCTCAGAAGCAGCAGCCAGAGTTCGAGGCTTTTTCTTCCGCTCTCAGCCAGCAACCTTCCTAGCTGGTCGGAGTTCAGCTGAAGTAGGCACGTTGGTCCTCAGCCCTCAGTGTCTTAGTCCTGATGCAGAGCTTCGACTTGAAGAAGTTTCTAGAGATCCAAGCACCCGCCACGGCAGTTGTGGGCACGTGTCAGGGGACGAAGGACGGGCTGGCAGACCGGAGAGTGAGGGTGACGTTGCCATAGCATACTGTATCCAAAGAGCTGCTTATTCTGGTTCCCCGGCCACAGTGAGCGTTTGCTGTGGAAATGGATGGAACGGCGGTGCCGTTGGGTTTCCTCCCTCTCTCACTGCCATCTTAGTTGAAGTTAACACGCTGTTGCGTCCACGTGGTTACCAGCATGCTCGCAGATGTGGCTGTGTCCGTGAGTGAGGCCGTCGGTCCAACGCCGTGGCCTTTAGAGCAACTAGAGAAGTGTGAGTAGAGGGGCCTGGCTGGGAACCCCTGAACTCAGAGCAGATTCTGAGAGCTCTTTCCAGTCTGCTGGCCTTTGCCCTATCTTCCTAAAATCTACTGAATGCTACTCGGAAATAGGACTAAATAAAAGGTCTGACTGCCAAGAGCCCTTGCTTGTGCTCTGCCCAGCCTGAGCAGATCAGGGCGTGAACGGCTGTGGGCCAGCCCAGGGAAGACAGGAGCCCCCCTCCCAGGTGGCAGCGAGGGGCAGGGTGACCCCAGTGAAGGGCTCTGGTCCCTAGAGGTGGCATTGCATCCAGCTCCGCGATGGCCCGCTCACACTCCCCTCCTGTGTGGTGCTTCCTGCAGTTTCTGGGTCTGGGCCAGGCTCCCTCTGCCTCGCGACTTGGAGAAGAAAGTACGTTAGGGCCCTTTGGGCGTAGAGGTCTTTTTGGTCAAACCAGTGAGACAGGAATTACAACTCACGCTCAGTTCGCCCAGGTTCTAAGTGTGGGCGCCGTGGCCGGCCAGGGGGTGCTGGTGTGGCCCCTCTCCCCAGACCAGTCCTCTCGGCAGCCTTCCTCTGCAAGGCTGCTGACTCCCCAGGGTGGGCGGCATGGAGCGGGAAGGGCCTTCTGCAGGGAGCGGGGAACTGCCCGCAGGGCAGGGTGGGGCCCCGCGGTTACGCTTACAGCCAGGGAGCAAGGGTTTGAAGTTAACACGGATGCAGACTTAGCTTTTGTCAGAAAGGTGACTTTTTGCCCATGGATCTTCCGTTTCCATTAATCAGGAGTAGTCCTTAAAACCAACACAAAACAAACGAGACCTGCCCCCCGCCCACACTGGCCCCCATGGTTTTTCTGTGTAGCGTCTGTGGCAGCCAGTCAGGCACTGTTCTGATGGTTCCCCTTGACCTCTGCTAGGTGGGGCTTCTTGGAGCCTCTGTATGGGGTCCCCTTGGGCCAAGAGAGCGCACATTGAGGCTTGCCCTGTTTCTCCTGGTTCCTGCCCCCTGCCCCCGCCTCAGTTCTTTTTCTCTTTGCAGATCCTTCTTTAGAGGATCGTTTTGGATGGAAAACAGCATAGGCATCGTCTCAAAATAACGAGGTGTTTTCCTTCACAGTGTAGAGAAGTTGCAACATGTACAGGCGCCCCTGGGAAAGGGGAAAGGAGTGAAAACAGAGCTCACCCGGTTTTTCCGTGCGCAGTCCTGGTGTCCCGGTACAGGCAGCCCCTTCGCCTTTCCGCCGCGTTACTCGCCTGAAGGCCCTTCATACCTGCTAGTCATTTTCAGGACCTGAAATGTCACGGGGATTGTTATTTCTGTGTAGAGACAGGGGAACTGAGGAGGAGAGGAAAATCTGCATTGGAATCCAATCCTCTGTTTTTTATTTCCATCTTTAAATTGAAATGTATTTTCCCCCCCTCCCTCCAAATTAAAAATAAGAGCTCTAGCCCTGACCAGGTGGCTTGGTGGATTAGCGTGCCGTCCTGATGTGCCGAAGTTGTGGGCTGGATCCCCAGTCAGGGCACAGATAAGAATCAACCAGTAAGTGCAAAAATAAGTGCAACAACAAATTGATGCCCCCCTCCCCCTCCCTTCCTCTCTCTTTCTAAAATCAGTAATTAAAAATTAACAATAAGAGCTGTAGCCACTGAATGAAAAAAAAAATTACATGCAATATTGTTATGTGTTCTCTTTGCAACTGTTACAAACAGTGTAATAATAAGACCTTTGCAACTTGGTGTGTTGAGAGCCTTAAAACCAGGTATGTTGAAAGAAAGTGCCCACCTAGTTTTCTCTTACGCACGTAAATTCATTGCAAGCCACAGAAAGGTGCTTTCTGTGGTTGGAGAGACATTGCTTGATAAACAATTGAAAAAGTTAAGCACCACCTAGAAGGCATTTAGAACTATGAGTCACTTTCCTGACAAGCCAATAAGGCGAGAGAACTGGAGTTGCAAAACAATTACTAGCCCAGCCTGAGGGGCCCTGGAAACGTGTTGCAGGTATTAGTTAGAAAAGCAGAGCAGCCGTGTTTGACCTCGCTGCTCAGAACCAGCGGCAGCTGCTTCACCAAACCAAGTGCCTGACACTGACAATGCCAATTTTTACCTTTGTTTCAGAACCAGGGATGCTCAAAGCACCGGAGGTAAGATCAACATTGAACATTTTTTATATAGTGTTCGCATTTCAGGTGGTTTGCTAACTGCAGCGGGCTTGAGCTTTTAGAATGTTAAATGTGCCTTTGCAAACGGATGGGAACAGAGACCGAGTGAGCAGCCAAGTGCCTGTGGGTGAAAGCCACAGGTTTAATCGGAGGAATTTGCAGTCGTGGGCTGAGATTCTCAAGTAGAGGGGAAATGCAAACGTTTAGTCCAAGCTTAGGGTGCGAAATGGAACTTTCAGACTCTTACGGGTTCAGGTACATTACAACTAGATACTGCAGCAATGTTGTGACATAAATGTGGGGGCGCATTTCCCTGGTTCTCTGCTACACAGTCCCACAAAGCCCCGAGGCTCATAAACTCCATGGGCCCGGAGGCATTTCTGTGGAGGGGTAGCTTTGATCCTGTTTGCACAGAAGGAAGGGTGGCCCTCTCTCTAGGGAGCTGGCAGACCTGTTGCTGTCAGGGAGCATGTTGCTGCCCAGCATCTGCTAGCACGGAAAAAAAAAAGTTCTGACATTGTTCATCTAAGGATGTGGTTTCATGTTTCTGGTGCTTTTACATTTGAACACGAACATGGTTTGTATCATGTCTTATTGATCAAATCCAGATCTGATAAACATTTCCTTTTGGTTTAGCACGGAATCCTAGGTCTGATAGCTTAGAAGTATGTGATCCCTGTTATCTCTTAGAATAAAGCTACTTTTTAAAAGCAAGAAAGAATGAAAAATATGGCCAATTCCAGGCATCCATGGCCTTGGCCTTCAACCAAAAGTAACAGATTTCTTATCTGACCTCCCCAAAATAATGTCATGGCCAAGAAAATTAAAATATAAAATACGTGTCATGTTATGTGAACCTAAAGTACAGCTATCTGAGAATTTCAGAATAAAAGAATGACAAAAACATTCTACACTGAATTATTTGAACACAATTATATCTCATTAAGAGTGGTGTAATATTAGTATGCTTTGAATAGACTTGCATTTCTGTAGTTGGTAAAAAACAATGAAAAGCACAGCAAGATGTCACACAAGAGGTAAGTGTTTCCTACTTTGTTTTTTTTTTGCATAAGCACATAATTTTTTGATGTAGGATATCAAGAGTGTGATGAGAGGAAATTCATATGCCCTTCTTAAGGAATCCGTTCACTGTATTTTAGAATCTAGATCAAGAGAATGTATAACAAGATAATAATAATTTAAAAATAGGCAGCGCAAGTTTTTCTAGGGCTGATATAAATCGCCATAAAATTTCTTTCAGTGTTGAGTCGACAGGTGAGGTTTTCCATCAGGACTGTGAGGATTGTTCCGGAAGCTCCAGTGGCCTTCTGGGAAAGCAGCCTTCTTTCTCTGGCCCTCATGCTGTTCCTAGATTACTGAGACAGCATCCTTTGTCAAGCTCCAACTTTTAACTCAGCGTTACTTTACATTTATCCTGTTAGATAGAGACATTATTTTTTTCCAGGGAAGATGATTTCACTTCATTTTATTTAAGTTATGTGCCGTGGGCCTGCTTACAAAGAGAAAGCGTGCGAACGAGAAGTGGGTAAGAATTGTCCCATAATCCTAAATAATTCTCCCTGGGCGTTTTCGTCCTCTTCCACATAAGCCTATTATGAAAGGAATTAATTTTCACATTGATTTTTAAAAACGTAGCATCAGAGAGGGCCGGTGGGAAGGTTCTTTCACCCCACTTTTCCCGCCAAGGCTTGCGCTCCGCAGACAGAGCTGTCAGGGGCTCGGGAGGCTTCCCAACACTCAACGAGCGAGCGGGACCCGGAAGCCCTGTCCTTTTTACTCCCCGCTCTCTCCCGAAGGCCTTTTCCTCCACCTGCCATTCTGAGTCCTTCTCTGTTCCCCTTGCAATGGCCATGATGGTGAACTTTCTACTTTTCCTGTTGTACTTCAGTGTCAAGGTAGGCCAGCGTTCAGTGGCCACAGGACCCGTGGGTGCCCCTTAACCACCCCTGGGGCGCTCACCTCATTCCCATCCCAGAGGGGACCTTCAGTAGCCACCGCCGGCTCGGGGAAGCGAGGTTATCATTGCGCGCGCACTTAACACACGCCTTCTTTCCCTCTGTTCCTTCACTTAGGGTTTTCTCCCTTCAAAACAGGTAGAGGGGCCTAAGCCAGCTGCATAGAATGAGTGGACCTTTGCATGTTTTGTTGGTAAAAACGACAGAGGGAATTAGGTTTATCCCCCAAAAGGCGAGAAGAGAGTTTCATAGACGATCAAGGTATTTCTTTCAGAGAAAGACAAGGTAATCGGTAATGAATCGAGAAATAAAACCAAGTTCTTTGGTTGCCCTCCTGGCCCTAGTTCTAGGCAGATCAAAGGAGGTGGAGGAGGTTTTGAAGACTGAGTCTCCGATCTGAGGGCCCAGAGATGCCCATGAGGTGTGCCCAGCTCTCCCTGCTGGGGACAAGGTCCTGTCCTGCTCTGTCCCAGGCTTTTGAGAATATAGAGAAGGCAGGAGAGTATGTTTAAATAGGCACTGCTAAACATTTCCAAATTGTTTATAATATGCAATACTTTTTAAGTTCTTTTAAAGCCTAATTAATCTCAAACTCTCCAAATGCACTTGGTCTAAGTAGCTGAAATTCCCTCCTTTTTTTTTTTTTTTTTTTTTTTAATTCACCAGATATGGCTTGTCCCACTGCCCACTCTTGCTGCATAGATGTTTCTGTTCTCAGGGTCTGTTCAATGACTTTCTGGAGGAAGAAGCTAAACATAAACAGTAGGGCAATAACTTAGAGGGAGAATTTGTCCTTTTTGTAAATTTAAACATGCAAGATACCATAAAGTTAATAATGGCAATAATAATAAGAAGAAGGAGGAGCTATTACTTAATAATCTTCACTATGTGTCAGGAACTGTTCCAAGCACTTCACATAAATAACTCATTTATTTCTCACCACAAGTGCTATAGTAGGTGCTATTATCATCCCAGATGGGGATATTGTCCCCATGGGAAATTGGGCATCCAAACAGACACAAAGGCATTAACTAGTTCATGCTCAAACAGGTGCTGTGATGGTTGGAATTTGAACTTGGACAGTCTGATTCTAGAATTCAAACTCTTAATAACTGCACCACATTCCTTATTTTAATCCTAACTCCTAAGGTAATATAGAGTTGCTCTTGAACTTGTGTTCTTTTTTCACATTCTGAGTTTATAGTTTTACTTTATTTTTGTTGTTGACGCTATTACAGATGTCCCCCCCCTTCCCCACCTCCTCCCAGCCCTCACTGCCCCCCCACCCCCAGGCCACAAGCACACTGTTGTCTGTGTCCAGGGGTTATGCATGTATGTTCTTTACTCGTTTCAGGATTCTAGAAGTGAGGCCCAAAGGTTGAATTCCTTCTTTGCCTCCCAAGTACTTTGATAGTAGATGTTGCTAAGAGCAGTAGAAAGACGGCTTCTGTTGTACATTAAGAACGTGAAGGGCTATGTAGGAAGTAAATAACAACAAGATATCCATCCTTATATAGAAAGATGGCCATTTGTGTTCATTATTCTTTATATAGAGAGCTCCAGAACTTTTAATAAAATTTCTGGTAGAAAAGTGTTTTTCTCTGGAGGCCGTTTTCTGCCAAGTTACCCCGTGAGACCGTGGAGCTTCCCCTGTGTCTCCTTGGGCGCCCGGGCCCGTGGACGCCGGAGCTACACCGCCTTCCCGCCCGCAACGGCTCTTTAACTCGCCTTCCCAGCTCCGATATCCATCTCGTTCACCACGCTGACCTTAATGACCCTGTTGGCCTTTTTACAGATCCGTTTTGAAAGTAGTTGGGTTAAGGACAAAAAGTATAGTTAAAAGATTCCTCCAGCTTGTTTCACCTGCGAACCCTGAATGTCTGTGTCACATGGCTCGGAGGCCCTTTGGAACCCGTAAGCGCCCATGTCACCCTCTTAGCGTGGGAAAGAGGATGACAGGAGGAACCCAGAGAAGAACAGCCCGTGACGTCCGGGGGCTGCGCAAAGCCACGTGTGCGCTGAATGAAGCCGCGTCTCCACACCCAGGCGCTGTCCATAGCACACGTCAGAAGAAGAAACTCGCTTGTTGCAAAAATCTGAATTATATGGTCCACATTTCATTCGGTTGTATAATACAAAGTGAAAATCGAGTCCTTATTAATGAGCAAGATTACCATAGTTTTTAGGCAGGAATGAATGTAATATGAAATCGAACTTGTTACCATGTGTTTTCAACGATTTGAAGTCTCTTTTGTTTTGCGTCTTATCTATACTTTCTGGAATGTGCGGTGTTCCTTAGGGATTCCTTTTCTGTGGTAAGAATGTGCTTTCATGGTTCACAAGCTGCATGCCAGTTTTGTTTCTTGAAGAATTAAGGGGCAACGGACCCACAGTGAAAATACCGTCCTCACTGAAGTGTCTGCTAATGTGGGAGCTTGGATCCTGGTTGTGAGATACATCTCCAGCCTCTCGGCCCCAGAAAGAGCTGATTAGAGTTGTGGAGATCAGATGACTTTGCTGGGAACATTTTCCAGCCAAGACGGTCTTTGTTCTCACAATTCCTGTAGTCATTGTGATTTCAAAAAAAAAAATGAATCATAATACCCAGAGATGGCAAATAGAAAGCTGGGTCTTTCCCGTAGTGTTATGAGTATTAAGTGATTGAACGTAATCGTGTTCCAGTGGAAGACTTATTAGAGCAACAAAAAGGTCAAATTATAAAAACAAATTTGAGAACCGAATGTTTTGACTAAAATCAGTCACACATTTTAATGGAAACAGTAAAACATTCATCGGCCTTCCAAAGTGTCACAAAGTAATATACTTCTTTGAAAAAACAATTTATTCAATTAAAATTTAATTGAAAGTTTTAAGCACACATTTGAGATACCAGCGTCATGAACCTCTACCTACCCATTGTTGAGATTCAACATAATTTATTTTTTAAGGTTTTACAGTGTTTATTAGATCCTTTCCAAAGTAAATCACTTTAATAATACAAAATCTCTCTTTTACCTTTCTGTACAGAAACGGACCAATGGACTGCGAAGAAACCCCAGACAGGTGGATCCAGGTGTGTTTCTGATTATACATCTATAATTAGGACTTAGTTAAATGACTAGGAAAACATATGGGAATTGCCGTAGAAAGCCAGGCAGAGTATTGGCCTTTGTTCCTCGCAGTTTGGTACACAACGTGTGACCGGGAGGCAACGGTCTAACGTGTCAATCATTTACGTGACAGTGCCGCCTAGGACAGGGTCACCTGGTGACTAACTGGCAGTAACTCTCTTTCCACAATCAGCAATTGAGCTGGTTATTTGCTTTACTGAACAGCCTCAGGCTGCCTGGTTAATGCTCACTTACCCAACAGACTGGCCCTGGTCCCTCCCAAACCTGGGAAGAAAATCAGCCAGTGCTTAAAAATGGGCATTTTCTACGGAGAGTGGGGGAGTTGGTAAACTGGACCACGCTGGTACCCTCCCCATTGGGAAAACCACTTTCCTTCATCCTGTACATAAACGACTTCATAATGGAAGAAAGAGCTGAAGGACTTTGTCTAGCTGCAGGGAGCACTAGCTGTTTTCCATTTGACATCATGAGGTTTGGCCTGTCATGATTTTAGTGCAACTCTTTCGTCCTCCATTAAAGCAATGCCTTCCACAGCTTAATCACCCAAGATCTGTTATGTGTAAGACATGGGCACGCTATTGTGGGTGAAAGGTATTCATGGCTGAAGGAGTCCCACTATATGAACTTGATAATAACTTCAGTGGAACGTGGAGTACAGTCCTGCCGGAAAACAGCCTGGGTTGTTTTGTTTCTGCGTCGTTGACAGAGTGTGCCTGGTTGGAGAGGTGAGCGTTCTGAGCTGTAACTTTTACCTGAAGCCACACCCAGGGCGCCGTGCTGGTTTACTGGCTGCGTGGGAAGATTTACGGAGCTTTGTTGCCCCTGGCTAGAAATGGCCTCCCTTGCTTCCTGAAATCCGTTTCAGTCTTTTAACCACACAACAAAATTAAGGCCATTAAAAAAAAAAAAGTAGGGCTTCTTGTTGACTTTTTCATAGTTCTAACTTTCCAAGACACTACCCTTTGCAGAAAATTCTGCAATAATATTTAGAAGTGTTCCTGTTTAGTAGCAATATGTGACCGTGAGCATTAATTTTTTTTCTTATTTGGTGGGGGTTGTGGTATTTCTGTTTCAAAAAATTATCTATTTATAATTAAAATATTTATAAATATTTAAAAAATATTTTCTCTTCTATGAGCACTTTCATTTAATCCACCTTACCAACAGGAAAATGCATGTCTTTGTTTATGATATCAGAAAAAACACATGTGACTGTTAACAATTTACTTTATAGCCAAACATTTTAGGAGCCCTTAGATTATTTTCAGAGAGATATAGTGCATTGACAGATTATAAATATGACAAAGTGGACCATCATAAAACAGTTTATCCTCCTTTATCTTAAAGGTGATGGTTGTGTACAGTATAACTCTTCTGATATTCCTGTTTCTTATTTGTCCAAAGATCATGAAGGACTTCATGAAGAATAAATTTAGAAATACAAAAGAAGTAGTATTATATGTTATGTGTGTAATTTTATCTATTTAGAAATCTTTCCATTAGTTGTAATAAATACATGAGTGTTTTCTAGTTTTTCTGCATTTTTGGAAAAACAAATAACTGATGAGTAGTTTTCCCTTTTGTAGCTCTCACTGTGATGGCCGCTATTTCTCCTGTAGGCGGCTGTTAACGTTGGCCTTGAATTGTGCGTTTAGAGTTGGTTGTCTTTGGGATCTTTGCTGCTTTCTCTTGGCAACTTGCAAAGGCCTTCTGTGCAGAGTTAACCCTCGCTTGTAGCAGGTGTACTCTGCATCCGTCCTGATGTGACGTGGTTCTGTGGGTGGCCGCAGTTGTGTGCGCTGTCTCACGCCCAAGATGGTTAAACCAGGGACCGGTCACACTGAGGCTTCCTGGCCACGGACAAAGCGCTTCCAGGGGCAGTGTCTTCTGTCAGCGCCTTTCCCATGAAGTTCCTTTACACTTTCTCTTCCAGCTAATTTAGCTGGTTCCCCCTGTGCTCATACGCAGCCTGCTGAGCAGGGCCTCCCGGGGGGCATTGCAGGAAAAAGCGATGAAATAGCCTGCGAGGTCAGATGTAACCACTTCATCAGATCCCAATTTCAGAGCCAAAGGTAAACGACACGTCTTCCCTGGAGACCTTTGGTTTTGGAAAGAAACTTAACGCATGTTTCTTCGGGTAGTAGATGCTTAATAAATATTTTTAAATGAATGGTGATAACCTTTTGTGCATGCATCGGCTCTCTTTTTAAATTCTTGGTGCTGGCAAAGTGGACCAACGTACGAATGGAACATGGAATACTCTAGTTACAGGAGGCATGGCCGCAAGCCACATTGCCCGGGCTGGTGACCCCACTTAGCTGTTTCCTTGCAGTTGACCTTGGGCAATTTGGGTCCTCTCTGTGCTGCAGTTTCCTCATTTGTAAAGGAGACTAATAAAGTCCCTGACTCACAGAATTGTTGTGAGCATGGCCTGAGCTGGCACCCAGAAAGTTCTTGCAACAGTGTAGGAAATGCTGAGGTGACGGTTGTTATAATAATTGCTGTATGGGAGAGCACGTTATTTCATATTGGACATTTTGTCACGTGTAGGAGAATCAATAACTTTGTCAGTTATTTCTTTTCAAATAGACCCAGCATTTTATGCCGAGTTTCCATTGAAGCTAGAAGTTACATAATCACAGCCATTTTCAGACTTGCCTTTGTTCTCTGCGTATTGCGTGGCCTCCGTGAAATTTTGCTTATTTTTAAGAAGAAACACTGGAAGCATTGGTGGTCCAGAGTTTCGGGTAAAGTCAGTGGTTGTGATTGCAAAAAAGGGAAAAAAAAGAAAAACTCCTAAGTTTGAAAACACATACCGTGTATTGTGAAGTTCTTTTCAAGCCAGAAAGGTATGAGCTGTAGATTGGCAATGTGGCTTGTTGGCACATTTAAAACATTCATTCTTTATTAATAATGACAGTTAATCTTTATAAATAACATCTGCAAATGGCTTTGCAGTTTAGTTTACATTTTCTTGTCTTCTGTTGTATGCTAAAAAGTTTACCAATTTATGATCTTAACTGTTTTTATAAATGTAATAATGTGTTAGATCCAAATTCTGGTAGCTCTTTTGGATTTTTTCAATATAGCAAGGTATTTTCATCAGTTTGTGCTTTTCTTCCTGAGACATCAGATGTTAGATTCAGGAAAATAACACTTCGAAGAGACAGATCAATTATTTCAGGAACACGGAGGTGCTGGGCCTTTTTCAAGAACATGAGATCATAAATCTCAAGAAAATCTGAGCGCTGGTGTGATGTTTTTCACCTAGAGTGGCACTCAAGGGCAGAGTCACCAATTAAATTTCAATACTGAACTTTGAACATTTCCTTCTGTCTGTGCATAGAGCAGACAAGATGTAGTTTGCATGAGGCAAGTCTGTGTGCCAGGATGTGTGTGCTTTTAATCACATCCATGTTTTTAGATGATTGCTAATTGTCTGTATTTGTGGGATGCATAGCATCTTGTATTTAAGTCCAGGGTCACTAGTGTTTAAAAAATTCAGGTCAATGTTCTGTGTTATATCTCCCAAAGATTAGATAAAGTAGAGGGAAATAAATGCACCGCATCTGTTCCTGATCTTAGGTGACTCATGTGATTTGTGATAACCTTGAATAGCAAATGAACCGATAATGGTTAAATTGATAGGGGTCTTTCTCTGTGCTCGTCTGACACTCTTGATTGCAAAGGGAAACGTGGCTTGGAAACACTGTCTTGTCCACGGAGTCTTAACTGTTTCTGGCAGAGTCATCTTCAAAGATGGTCACTTTCTCTTTCAGGTGGTAGCCTTGATATGAAATTCTATGCCTAGAGTTCTTTTTCTAAAAAAAGATTTTATTTATTTATTTGTAGAGAGAGGGGGGAAGGAGGGAAGGAGAGGAACATGAATGTCTGAGAGAAACATCGATTGGTTGCCTCTCCCACGCCCCCAACTGGGGACCTGGCCCTCAACCCAGGCATATGCCCTGACTGGGGATCGAACCGGTGACCTTTTGGTTTACAGGGTGAGGCCCCGCCCACTGAGCACGCCAGCCAGGGCCATTCCTGTTGTTATTATATGAAGAAAGGCATTCGGGAATGTTGTCTTGCATTTCCCACTATGTGTTATATGGAGCACTCAGCACCGGCAACGTCATTAATTATAAAACACGGCTCCTCTCCACAAGGCGTTTATGTTCTGTCTGAGCAGGGGACACGGGTGCACGTCTCGATTTGTGTCTGCGAATGGACACCTTCAAATATTTTAATATTACAGATATTATTATATACTGGTTCTTTCTGGTGTGGCAGAGTGTTATAAAAACAATTAGTGAATAGTCTGATCAACATATAAAAAGATGTCATTATGGAGTATGCGCAGAAAAAGCAAAAGGAGTTGGAAAAGAGAGATGCTCAAATTGCTTTGGAGCTGGGTCGTCTGTATATGTTTTCCTTGGTATAAATAAAAATTTTGCTATGCTGGCTTATTGTATTGAATTACAGTTTATTACAGTTTTCCTTAATGTGTTAATTTCAAAGGACTGAAAAACTCATTTCAAATCTAAACAGAATTGTTGGTTTCTTTTCGATGTGATTTTAAACATACTGGCATTAGTTCAATAGAGAAATTTTATATTTTTAGTTTCTAAATAGAAAACATTGCAGAGAAAAATAGCAACCTGGGATTTTTAAAATCGCTGATCTAAAAATACATTTCATTCTTTCTTTTTCTTTTTTAAGGAGATAGATGCATATTCTTGAAGCCTTCAGTAAATGAACTTTTGTTTATAATAAATAAGGACTGACGTATCCATAGATGATACCGGTTCCATATTAACCAGTCAAACCTACTTTTGTCTTTTCGATCTCCTCTAAAACTATTTTCTCATCCCAGATAAATCCTGATCTGAATGTCGGGACCGTAATTGTAAATATGTATATTTCAAGTTGAAAGAACCAACGT